GATTCCTGCTGGGTAGCTGTGAATGAGAAGATTTGTCAGTAGGGGAGATTAATGGGGAGATGGCAATGCAATATTTATGAATAAGAAGATATTTCTTAGTGGGGTATTTGTGAAGAGGGAATTTGTCTCAGTGAGGAGAGGGGACTAATCAAAGGAAGGATTTACCAAGGGCTTAGAGATTTGTTATCTGTAGTCTTGACAACAGTAGAGATTTATAAAAGGAGGGATTTGTCCACAATGAGGACTGCATAGCGGGGAACATTATCATAGGGTGGGAGATAGGTTTTCTCAGAAGTCTTTGAAAATGTTGACATGTGGGTGGAGGGAAATGCACCCTGGAAAGCATTATGCAAACATTGTAATAAGAATAATAGTATTTCAAATGAGCATATTAAATATTTGTAACATCTCAAGATTATCATGATTGTAAGTTAAACCAAGATTTCTAGAGTGCATTAAATTGTTGCTACTAATATACCTTATTTTCAGTTTTATATACTATTTCTTTTTTTTTTTGAGAGAGAGAGAGAGAGTGAATTTTTTAATATTTATTTTTTAGTTTTCGGTGGACACAACATCTTTATTTTATTTTTATGTGGTGCTGAGGATCGAACCCAGTGCCCCACGCATGCCAGGGGAGGACGCTACCGCTTGAGCCACATCCCCAGCCCCTATATACTATTTCTAATATCAAATATTATTTGTAATATTGTAATAAGCAGTACTGATAAGAATTATCATTGGGGCCCACATCTGTAATCCCAGTGACTTGGTAAATTAAGGTAGGAGATTGTAAGTTTGAGGCCAGCCTCAGCAATGTAGTGAGATCTTGTCTCAAAATAAAAGTAAGAAAGGAGCTGGGTGTGGTGGCACATGCATGTAATCCCAGCAATTTGGGAGGCTGAGGTAGGAAGATTGCAAGTTCAAAGCCAGTCTCAGCAATTTAACAAGGCACTTAGCAACTCAGTGAGACCCTGTCTCTAAATAAAATATGAAAAAGGTCTGGGGATACGGCTCAGTGTTTAAGTGTTCCTGGGTTCAATACCCGGTACCAAAAAAGAAAAAAAAAGTGTAAAAAAGGGGCTGGGGCTATAGCTCAGAGTAGAGTGCCCTTAGGCTCAATTCCCACCACCACAAAAAAAAATTATCACTACTAAAGTTACACATTAATTTATACTTACTATAAATACTACTTATAACTGCTATATGATCTCATTTAATAAGCACATTGTCACTATGAGTTGGACACACTCTTTATCCCTATTTTACAAATGTGGTAACTGAGGCATAGAATGGCAATATGGTTTTCCCCAAGGACATAGAACTAGGACATGGCAGGGACAGGATTTAAGTGCAGATGACCTACCTCCTGGGTTCATGGTTTTTTGTTGTTGTTTGTGGTGCTGGGGATTGAACCGAGGGCCTTGTACATGTGAGGCAAGCACTCTACCAACTGAGCTACATCCCTAGCCCAGGGTTCATGGTCTCAATCAGTACACTACACTTCCTGTCTAGAAATTAAGTCACTGTCAGTAATATTGCACATTAAGTTATTGTTATGAGAGATTGTTTATTTGTCTGTTGTTTGCACATGTGTGGTGCTCAGGATGGAACCCTGAAAAATATTCAAGGGCAAATACTCCTCATAATCATCCTTCAACCTCTGAAGGACTCTGGGTAGAGATGTGATGCCCATTTTTATTTGTTCTTTTTAGATATGCATGACAATAGAATGTATTTTGACATATTATACATACATGGAGTATCACTTCCCATTCTTGTGGTTGTACATGATGTGGAGTTACACTGGTCGTGTATTCATATATGAACATAGGAAAGTTATGTCTGATTCATTCTACTGTCTTTCCTATTCCCATCCTCCCTCCCTTCTGTTCATTCCCCTTTGTTTAATCCAATGAACTTGTATTCTTCCCTCCACCCCCTTATTGGGTATTAGTATCTGCATATCAGAGAGAACATTTGGCCTTTGGTTTTTTGGGGATTGGTGATACCCTTTTTTTTTTTTTTTGGTTCCAGAGAGATTGAACTCAGGGGCACTTACCACCAAGCCACATCCCTAGCCCTATTTTTTATTTTATTTAGAGACAGAGTCTCACTGAGTTACTTAGAGCCTTGCTTTTGCTGAAGCTGGCTTTGAACTTGAGATCTTCCTGCCTCAGCCTCCCAAGCCACTGGGATTACAGGCATGCGCCACTGCACTGGGCTGTGATTCCCATTTTTAAGCAGGAAGACTGAGGCTCAGGTAAGGGAAGGGCCAGTCCCCAAGTTACCCTGAGCTAGATCTCATGCTGCACACCTCATATTACTGTGACTCCTCCACATGCTTCCTCTTGGCCATCATAGTCTCCAAAAAGATCCACACAGAGACACACTGAATGCTTGGGGGCTGTTCACTTTAATGGATTTTCTAGAAGGGTGGTGGGGGTGTGATTATCCCAAGACTGCAGATCCTGCCAGGAGCTTATGCCAGTTCTCTTCAGGAAGTAGCCTTGTATGCTGTTCTGGTCTCCATGTACACTGAAGTACTAGTCAGCCGTGTCCATGCTGGACTGGGTCTGGGTACAGGACCCATCTGTGGGGTAAACTGGTTATCAGAATGATCACCACACTGGGTTCTATCCTTCCCCTGCCACCTTCTACTGCACCTTCCTCCCCAGGGCTAGGATAGCTAAGGGCTCAAAGAATGAGCCCTGAAATCATAGAGCAACTCAAGAGTGCAGGGAGTTGGTACTAAGGTTTAGTGAATAATCAGGAGCTATTGAAGTCTCACTATCAGCAACAAGGTCACTAGCGCCAAAACAGGACCCAGGCCTTTCCCTTGGAGTTACATCAATCAGCAAAGGCTGCTGTTTGCTCCTTTTAGTAGACTGGGGGCCAATCCCCTGAGGAGACACGGATATTGACACAAATATTGTTACTGCAATGGATGTTCCCTCCTGAGGCAAGTGGGTATTTAAAATCTGCCCATCCTGATCCAGTACATAATTTGGGCCTAGGTAACCTCCTAGGAGTGTAGAAAGCTCTGCAGCAGGACCACAGAGGACAGAGGGGTCCATGCTTGGTGACTCAGGATACCCTAGAGGAGACCTATTTTTTTTTTCCACTGCTGGTGATTGAATCCAGGGTCTTGAGCATCCTAAGCAAGTACTCTACCACTGAGCTGCATGCCCCCAACCCAAGACTCACATTCTTATTGGTAGGAGCAACACGTAGTTGGATGGGAGAGAATTTGGGGGGGGGTTTCTTCACCAAAGAAGACATATTTTCCCCATTCACCTAAGGGTGGGGACACTGACAAAGGTTTCTGTCAGGAATCCTCACTGGACAAGCATCAGGACAGTGCCTGAGAGCTGTTTGCCAATTGATAGTCCATTGTCAATGAGTTTATCAACTGCTGAGATTTGTGAATAGAGGAATTCACAGCTGTGGGATAACTTATCACCTTTTTCAAGGGCCAACTTAGGTGTTCCACTGAGTGTTTGCCCCAATCTGAAATTCTGACTCCTACAGCCTCCCTTGAGTCAGGACCTTTGGATACTAGAGGTGGGATGCAGGGACTGGGAAGGCTTAGCAGAGCCTAGGCCCAACTGTAGGAGCAAGGAGACCTAGGAAGGGAGTGTTTGGAGGGTCTCTCACTCAGTTTTTTGATTTGTTTCATTTTTTGCAGTGCTAGGGATTGAACCCAAGGGCACAACTGAGCTATATCCTCTCCCCTTTTTAGATAGGGTCTTGCTAAGTTGCTGATGCTGCTCAAAGTTAGATCCTCCTGCTTCTGCTTCCTGAGTCACTGGGATTACAGGCATGCACCACCAAGACCCAGGTTCTATGTAGGAAGATGAGCCATAAAAGTGAGGATCAGGTCCAGAGACCTGTTTAGATGAGGAGACAGCTGCATGGGGAAGGAGTGTAGAGGTTATGGGCTGATATATCTGGTTGTTCCAGATTGTGAACTCTACCTGCACTAAATTGCTGTCACAGTTTCCTCCAGAGTTGGTCAGAAGAGTATAGAGAGGAGGAAAGGGGAGGGGAGATTAGGACAAAGCTTGGGGATTTCAGGATCATACCTTCTCTCCATTCAACCTCTTCTATACCCCAAATAACCCCTAAGTAAGTAATCTTCTGCAGGCCATGGATGGAGGGCCAGGGCTACCCCTTCTTCCCTGGCTGGGTTGTAGTAGGGGACCCTTTTACTCAAGACAGATTTATACTACAAAGCCTAAGGGTGGGGACATGACAAAGGTTTGGGTGGGGAATCCTACTGAACAAACATCAGGAGAATGCCTGAGAGCTTTTTCCAATTGATTGGGCTTTTGTCAAGGAGTTTGTGAACTGCTGAGATTTGTGAATAGGGGAATTTACAGCTGTGGGATAACTTATTAACTAGAGAATCCTGGGCAAATAGGAATTAGAAATCATTATAGTAAAATATTTTAAAGTGTTGAGTAGAGAAACTATTTATTAAGTTGGAATTGTTTACGCATATTAAATAACTATTACTGATATTGCAGATCAGCAGTTCTAAGGCCAATATTGAGATTATTGCCAGGAGCTGTCACATGCCTATAATCCCAGTGATTTAGGAGGCTAGGGTAGGAAGATTGCGTGTTCAAAGCCAGCCTCAGCAATTTAGTGAGGCTCTAAACAATGTAGTGAGACCCTGTCTCAAAATAAAATATAAAAAGGGTTGAAGATGTGACTCAGTGGTTAAGAGCCCCTGGGTTTAATCCCCAGTACCAAAAAAAAAAATATTACCAATACATAAACTTTTATGTAAAATATAAAACCCCAACATTTTTTTTTTCTAAGTGTGGAATCCAGGGCCTGTGTGTGTTAAACAAGCACCCTTCCCCTGAGCTACACCTCCAGCCCCAAACCCAACATCTTGCATCCCTCCCTGCCTCATTGGTCCCAGGGTACCCCCACCAGTTCATCACTAACATGGGTTTGTTCCCAAGCACTACAGAGACAGTGTCTGCTGGGTGGTAGCTCTTTATTTCATCATCTTGGAGAAAAAAAAGTTGGGAGTTGGAAGGGGGCAAACACCATGTGGGCTTTAGCTTCCACTGGAGGCAGGCTTCAGGCCATCCGGACTCGTAGGGACTGCCAGGTACACACCCCTGGCTCCCGGGGCAGGCACGCTAGGTTACGGCTCTGGAATCCTCTCTCAGAGCCATCGAGGAGCTGGTCTGTCCACAAGCACTGAGTGTCTTTCTCCAGTTTGCAGGGAATGGATGAACAGGCAAACACCTGAAAGAGAGGAGAGAGGTTCACCTTTGAGGGCTTCTCCTTCTCTTCCTCCCTCCTGTGGAGAACATTCCCTTCTTTGCCTTGCAACCTTGAGCTGCTGGAGAGACCCAGGAAGAAACCCTCCCCTTGGGGGAACAGGAAACCAGTGAAAGGATCATTGTACTAGAAAAGTGGTTAGGAAATAGTCGCTTGGGATCAGTCAAGCAGACTGGCGAATTTTCCCATGGGGCAAGGAACAATTGGCAGTAGTAGGGAAGAGCAGGTGTGCAGGGAATTTAAGCAAAAGATAGGTAGTAAGGCCTCTCAGTCGTTGGGATCACAGGACATTCGGGGGTATCAGGGAACAGTCTTAGAATGGCCAGGTCAATGTAATGCACCTGGCGAGTAGATCAGTCAACTGTAAGGCAAGAATGAGATGCGCTGGGGGAGAGTTGGTAGGTATGGAGAACAACACTTTGGGTTGTTGGAGATGTTCTAGGGAAGTAAAATATATATATATCTCCCCCAGGGGTCAGGAACTGGAAGTGGGATTACAGAATAATCACCAGGGAGAGTTAGAGGGGCAGGTAAAGACGTCAAGGAGCAGGCAGTCCCAAGGTTATCAGACACAGGGCAGAGGATAAACAAGAATTTCCAAGGGAGCAATCTCAGGTTTGGGGAAATAGCAAGAGAGAGCAGGGACAGCTCATGGGTTTGGGAAGCAGATACAAGGACAAGGAATAGCCAGTGGAGGGGGCAAGAAATGAGCCCACGGTTTGGGAAAGAACCCCAAGAACAATGTCCAGGTGGAAGGCAGAGCTCAGGCACTCACTGTGCATGCCTCGCAGCCAGCACTGTAGGTCTTGGTGAAACCCTTGCGCTGAGCTGGGCTCAGACTGGTCCAGGGAGCCACGAAACTGCAGGTGGTGATGTGCAAGAGCTTATTCTGCAGTTGTCCTGGGAGGGAGGGGGGGGACCAACAGGGAGCTTTTGATTGGCTCGGTCAGGAGACAGGACGACATCTGATTGGCGCCCTGGGCATATAGACCCCCCAACTAGGCAAAGTCTCAGCCTTCTGATAGGCTGAAATTGGGGCGGTCCCAATTTCAACTGAGACCATTCCTTTCAAAGCCTCACCCCCACCCGGTTGCTGGGCAGCTTCTGAGAACGGGTTGGTGTGGCCCAGGGCGAAGGGGTGGAGCCTCACCCGCGATGAGAAACTCCTCGCTGCGGTTCTGGGAGTTGTGGAAGTATCCGCAGACGCTCTCCATAGCGGGGGTGTAGAGAAACCGGATGTCAGCGGCAGGCCCCAAGGCCTGGAAGCCTTTGAACATCTGTTGATGGATGAGGGGAAGAGTCTCTTTTACTGACATAATCCTCCCACTCCTCGTTCTTCCCTGAAGTCATCTACCTAATTCCCCAGATCACAATTTCCTCACCAACCCGCTGTGGCCGGAGGCTTCTGTTTTGAGGAGGAGGAAGATGTTGGGGACTGCTAGGGAGGGGGCAGGGGAATACCTTTGTCATCTTGATCTCATAACGCTGGTAACCCATGTCCTGATTGACTTCTGGGAGCCCCATAAACTTGGCTCTTATGACTGCAGGAGAGGAGGGGAAGGAAAGGAGTCAAAGGAACAGCATTAACCAATAAAAATCATCATCATATTAATACCAGTAAAGCACAGATACAAATAGGGATTAATGAGTGCCAGACAGCATGCTAAGTGATTTATACATCTGTTAATTGATTCATCTATGTATTGAAGTCCTAATCTTCATCAGGCACTACTTTAAGCCTTTTTCATTTGTACATTCATCTGTTCATGCACCCAACAAATATTTCAGATTGCCTACTGCATGTCAGGCACTGTTCAGGGCTTTAAAGGTACAACAGTGAACAAAACACTGAAGTCCCTTCACATTCTAGCTAGGAGACAGATTAAAAAGAAACAAAATAAATAAATTTGTGGAATTAGAAGATGTTAAGGGCAATTGGGAATTACAGAGCTGGGTAAAGAGGCGGCAAAGATTCTTTGCTTGACCAAACTTGAGTCAGGTTCCTGAATGTTCTCCCAGGCCCATCTGTTCACTTTCTTGTAAAATTCAGTTTAAGGAAAGAACCCTGATAGGTCAGTTTACCCCACCTTCATTTAACTCCCCTCAATATCTGTGGGGGTTCCTCATTCTTCCCCATGATGTCTGATCACACTGGCCTGTCTTCAGCAAGAACATTGTTAGGTCAGAAGTCCACTCCCTTACTCCTGATGTTTTCTCTTAGTGATGTTCCATTAACTGACCTCTCAATTGATCATTGGCTATAGATTCCCATTTACCCATGCTATATTGGGAGTTGAACCCAATCTATTTCCCTTCTGCAAAATTCCCTTGCCATGGTCCCTTACCTACTGGGATGGTCCTGAATAATCTGACTTTAACAGAGGATCAGGACTAGGGGGCAAGAGCTAACATTTTAATCAGGATGTTCAGGTAAATCCACCCCAGAAGGTGACTTTTGGGGCAGTCATCCATTTGGATACCTGAGGGGAAGGGTGTACCAGTGGAAGGAGCAGCCAGCACAAAATACAATAGCATCCTGATTTCCAGCACATCCATGGAAATCAGGATGCTATTGTAGCCACAACAGAGATATGCAGGGGCGAGCTGAATTGTTCTAGAGTTAACCACCATTGTGAGACCCTCTGGACTGAGAGGGAAAGCTAAGCAGAGTGTGTGGGTAGAGAAGGGGTCAAACTCACCAACATCGGAGTTGCAGAAAGCTGTCTGTGGGTGGGGTGGGGCACAGGTGCAGGCCCAGCTGGGGGCTATCAGTGACAACAACAGGATGCCAGAGGCCAGCGGTACAAAAGGGGCCATGGTAGTTTCTGTAGGGGAGAGAAGTGTCAGGTGGCCCCCAGCCCAGCTGATCTGCTGACCCCTGGCAGCCTGGGGAGGGAGAATTATGGGCCTGGGATTTGGGCCTGAGATGTTGGGAAGTTTGGGGATCTTAAAGAGTTGGGGAGCACAGAGGAGTGTGGGGATTTAGAGTTGGGAGAGTTTAGGAATTTAGGGGACTGAGTTGGGGAATTTTGAGGTTGTCATTTGGTGAATAAGAGGCCTGGGAAGTTTGAGGATTTAAGGGGGTTGGGAAAGTCTGGAAGCTGAAAAGTTTGGGGGTGAGAAATTTGGATATTGTGGTCTAGAAGAGTTTGGGGGAGGTCAGGGGTTATGCATATTGAGATATAGGTGACTGGGGATTTTAAAAAGTTGAATTGGGAGGAGGTTGGGTTTTAGGGAGCTGGGGGAATTGGGGAGTCCAATGGGTTAGGGGAAGTGGTGGGGGGCTAAAGGTGATGGAGGTACTTGGGGGATGTGAGGGCAGAGGAAGTTTTGAGATTTAGGTGTTTGGGGAAGGAGGCGTTTGGGGATAGGGAGAGTTTAGGGAATGCAGAGGTTTGGAGTGGGGGACTTAGTGGGGCAATGAGTGGATTCCAGGGAGTTAGAAGGCTGGGGAGCCTTTGTGGTATTAGGGGGTCATGGGTTTGGGGAAGCTGGGGATGGATGCCAGGGGTTCAAGGGAGTTTGGAGTGCCGGTTTGGGGGGAAGAATTCCAGACGTCCCCTTTCCGTGCCCCCTCTCATCCCCAACCAGCACAGGATCCTGGTACTCGCAGGCCAGGCAGAGTATCTGGCACCCGAGTAGAAAGGTCAGCAGCCAGCACACGGACAGGATCCAGTCGGGCCCAGCCCCAGCCCCACCAGGACACACGGATCTCCGCTTACCTCTGCTGTATCTCTAGGCGCTGGGTCTGCGGCGATGGCGGCAGGGCCTGAGCGGTAGAGGATAAATGTCCACCACGCGAGGGGCGGGGTTGGCGAGGAAATCACAGGCCTGCAGGCTTCCTGGATGTTATTACTCATCCGCCCACCATCAGAGCAGGGCAGCCCAAAGAGCCACCCTCCTCTGCCCGCCCGCTCCTCCCGCCCGCCACGCCCGCCGCACCCCTCCCCCAGCTCCACGTTGTGAGCATTCCTGCCTAGCGGCCTCCTAGGAGAGGCGACAGTCCGCCAAGTCCCTGAAATCGCCCAGTTCTCTCCAATCACCCACATCTCCCAAATTCCCCACGGCCGAAGCCCGACTTATTTCATTCTTTCAACATTGTGCATCAACTGTGTGCGGAGCCCATAAAACCCCCTTCCATTCCTGGTGTGTCTGACGTTCTGGTGAGGGGGTGGACAGGGGACAAATTAAGCAGAAGCGGTGGAGGGAGATAAGGCAAGCGAATGGGGAGAAACACAAAGTGAGGAAAGTGAGGCACCAAGAGGTTACGTGACTTCCCAAGCATGGTAGCATATGCTTGTAATGCCAGTGATCCTGGAGGCTGAAGCACGAGGATCGAACAAGATAGAGGCTCGAACAAGCAAGGTCCTGGCTCAAAATAAAATAAATAAATAAATAAGGGGCTGGGGTTGTGGCTCAGTGGTAGAGCGCTTGCTTAGCATGTGCGAGACACTGGGTTTGAGTCTCAGCACCACATATAAATAAATAAAGGTCCATCAATAACTAATAAAAACATTTTTAAAAAATAAAATAAATAAAAAGGACTTGGAGAGTTTGGGGCTGTAGCTCAGTGGTAGAGTACCTGCCTAACAGGAACGTATGAGGCACTAGGTTCCATCCTTAGCACCACATAAAAATAAAGGTATTGTGTCCATCTATAACTTAAAAAAATATTTTTTAAAAAGTAGACGTAGCTCAGTGTTAAAGCATCTCTGGGTTCAATCCCTAGAACCACTACCACCACCAAAAATAAATAAATAAAATTTAAAAAAGATTTATGTGACTTATACAAGAACATAGAGTTAATACGTGGTAGAACTGAGACTGGAACCGGGCGGCATGGAGCCACAGCCTGGGTTAGAACCTTTCTCAAAAAACACATGAACAAGACAAGACAGGGTGTAGCTCAGTGGCAAAACACTGTTTTACCACACATGAATCCCTCTGTTGCATCCCCAGTGCCGCAGATCAAATAAAAAACACAAAAACAAATAAAAGCACATACTCAGGCAAATAGCATTTATATAGCACTGACTCTGTACCAGGCAATCAGCATAGTTATTTATCTCACTTCAAGCTCACAACAAGCCTTGAAGGTGGAAACAAGTAGGATTCCCTTTTTACAAATGAGGAAATATGAGACATAAAGGTAGTGAAGACAAGGCATGGCTGGGTTTGAATCTAGGCTCAGTGACTCTGGGACCCCAACCCAAGTATGGCACAGTACTGGAAGGCAGGGAATGGTGCTAGTGAGCATCAGAGAGCATTAGGAGGGGGGTTGAGTGAATGGTGGTGAAAGAAGTTAGTGAGTCAGTAAAAACCTGTTCCCCACCCCATCCTGCCCTGCCCCTACCCCACTAACTGTTCCACACCCCTGGTGGGGGGTGGAATGAGGCAACCCCTGCCCACCAGCTTCCCAATGATGCAGGAATATTCCCGGGTGTCCTGGGGAGGGTTCTGAGGGCTGATGAACATTCTTGGTCAATTTAGGGAGGATAGACCAATAATGATGAGAGGATGATGACAGCAGCCACTTACAGAGTACTTACTGTGTACTGTGGGCTTTGGACTTAGTGTAAATTATCTCATTCACTGTCTGCTACCTCCTTGCTAATTAAGTTTGGTTAACTTAGGGAGGTTAGTTCAATAACCACAACAACACAATGCAAACCACTATCAGCACTTCAGAAGGTATGCTCTGAAGCCATTGTATGTACATTATCTCTTTCAATCAGTCCCGGTGACCCACCTCCTTGTTCATTAATGCTAGCTGATACTCTTCCCGACATCCCTAGATAAGGTTCATATACTCATTACACAATGAGGAAACTGAGACACAATAGGGGTCGAGCCATCTGCCCAGGAATGAGGGTGAAGAAATAACTACATTGGAGGGACAATAAAAGGAGGAAGGAAAGAAAACCAAAAATTTGTAGAAGCTGATTGTGAAAGTCGGGAAGTGAGAGTAAATGAGACAGGGGTCTGAGTAACTCCATGGCAGGATTGAGGGAGAAGTGAAGACAGGGAAAGTCCTGTCTTGGTTCCTCACTGACCCTGATTCTGACGCCAACTCTTTATCTCTGAAATCTGAGTCAGCACTCAGTTTTGCCGACTATTTACTTCTGAGGAGTTGTATGGATCTGGGTTATTGCACAGGTTTGAAATGAGGTGGATGTGGGTTTCACAGAGGGGTGTCTGGATCTGTGACCATCTAGGGAGTTGGAGAGGTGTGGTGGCCCAAAGGGACCAGTTGTCATGTATACAAGGGATGATCCCCACAATGTACCAAGTGCTTGGTCTGATTGTGCCCATTGTACACAACAAGAAACTGAGTCCCAGAAGGGTTAACCAAACTATCTGGGATGTCAAATGGCCTTAGGCAGAGGAGAGGCCAAGATTCAAGTATGGAAGCTGGGCCCATTGGTGCCTGCCTGAAAGTCCCAGCTACTGGGGAGGCTAAGGTGGAAAGGAGGATCCCTTGATTTATTTTGTTTTTGGTTTTTGTGTTACTGGGGATTGAACCCAGGGGTGCTCTACCACTGATCTACAGCCCCAATTCTTCTATTTCATCTTGAGACAAGATCTCCCTAAATTGTTGAGGCTGGCCTTGAACTTGTCATCCTTCTGCCTCAGCCTTCTGAGTAGCTGGGTTTACAGTTGTGTACCACTGCACCCAGCTAGGAGGATCAAACGAGTCCGGGAGTTCAAGACCAGCCTGAGCAACAGAGCAAGACCCTAAGTAGTACATGCCTGTAATCCCAGTGGCATGGGAGGCTGAGGCAGGAGGATGACGATTTCAAAGCCAACCTCAACAACTTAGCAAGGCAATTAGCAACTCAGTGAGACACTGTCTCTAAAATAAAATTAAAAAAAAATATTTACAAAGGGGAGAGGATGTGTTTCCATGGTAAAGCACCCTTGGGTTCAATGCCTGGTACAAAAAAAAAGAAAGATTCAAATCTAGGGATCCAAAGTCCCCTGAAGTGTGTACCTGGAAGGGCACATACTTACACATATCCACAGCATTGTGTTCAGCCTCAGGTCCAGGGGAAGCAAGGACGGTTTATGAAAAAGACCTAGAAAGCGGAGCTGGTTACGCATGTGCGCACACAGCTCTCTGCTATGTTTCTGCTGCTGGGAGTTGCATGTGTGCCCCCTCTGTGTGTTGTAAGCCCATCCCTGAGAGTCAGGTATGCCTGATTATTTTTTGCTGTTTGCTTCTGGGAGTTGTAGGACACATATGCAATCAAGAATGTATCATCCACTGGTGTGTGCTATGCGTCTGCCTGAGTAGAATGTCACACATGCGTCTGATTGTTTCTCTGGCATGATGCCTGGAGGATTCCTCTCACCTCCCCCATCCGCAGTCTTAACATCATGCCTAAGTCCTCCTGCCCCCCTTCAGTGACGCCAGTCATTTGAGAAATGAGGAAGGAGGGGTGCAGAGGGAGGGCAAAGCCTGAAGGTCAATTGGTCACTCTGAGTCTGCCAGCTTCCTGTGCCTGTCGGGAACTGGGAACCACCACCGCCCCAGCAGCCCCTCCGGGAATGCCATCTCTACCCTGTCAGCAGGAGGCAGGGGCCCTGCACAAGTGCCCATGTGCTGTGGTGCCTAAATGTGTGTGTGAATGCCCAGCAGTGTTGTCTGTAAACTTAGGAGAGTTGTGGATATCTCTGATTGTGCATATATCTGTGTTTCACATATGGCAAGGCATGTTTTGTGTGTGTGTGTGTGTGTGTGTGTGTCTTGATATACTTTTTGTGTGCCCCAGAGTGTGGCATGGGTCTATGTTATGCAGCTCTGGTTATGTGAAGACCTAGAAGTGTATGCTCCTCCTGTTTGTTGTGTAGATCCTTCTATTGGTTGTGCATGTGACTAGGAGTGTTCCATGTGTGCCTGTGTTGAATATATGCCCAGTTCTGTTGCATGCATGTGCCTGAAAAATTGTGTGAGCCTCTGTATTGTATGAGTGACCCAAAGGATCTGGGCATTTCTCTGTCAGTCAGGTTTGGGCAAGGGCGCTGATGTGTGTTTGAGTCCAGGAGTACTGGCTTCTGTCCATGTTTTGAGCCCCCGGATGGCAGAATGGCCTTGTGGGGAATGACTGTGTGGGTCTCTGTAGCCCCAGAGTTATGTGTGCTTTGGGCATATGTTGGTTGGTCTTCTCAACGTGCTTGAGCATCTCTAGGTTTGGCTGGGTAGATCAAGTCTGAGGGTTTGTGTGTCTCGAAAGTTGTGTACGTGTGTGGATGAGGCTTACATACAATGCTTGGCTGAGAGGTCCGATTGCTACATGCTAACCACCACACCCCCATACACACATGCACATTCACCTCACTGTCATCCATCCACTGTAAAAACAAACTTTCTCTTTTCTGGGAAAGTCCCCCACCCTCATCCCATGCCTTGCCCTGGGAAACCAGGGGCAGGAAGTGTGGGACTTAGTGGGTGGAGGGAGGGACAGGCAGGCAGGACTGGGTTTGAATCTGAGCTTGGAGATGCTGTGTGACTCCCAGCTGCTGCCCGACTGGGTCTAACCCACCTTTTCTGCAAAATGCTCATACTGTGGCTCATGCTGGATTGGGTTGCTGAACACCAACTCACTCTTGGTGGTTGGCACTCCTTCCCTGACCATGCCTCTTCTGCCTTTGTCCCCTCCAGCTTAGCAGCACAACGTACCCTGTGGTTGTGAAGATGGGGCATGCACACTCGGGAATGGGCAAGGTGAGTTTCCAGCTGGGGTGTGTGCTCGTGGTGTGCACGTATTTGCCATGAATGCTCCTGGCACTATGGTCTTGTAGGTGTGTGTCTTTGTGAGCTCAGTGCACACCAGTAAGTTTGACAGTGTGTCCTGGGATGTCTTCA